GTGCATTCCTAGGTCTTGTGACGGGCTGCAAAATCTCACCAGTTCCCGGGTTCCCCAACAGACTGCAGCTGAATCTCTCAACCTTGAGAGATATCTGTTGTCTGACTGATGTGTCGACCCTGTTTTTGATAGACAGGAAGTTCTGTTTGACCCCTTCGAGACCTATGAGGCTCATCAACGTGTCCAAAGCATCACATCTCGCGTGGTCAACCCGCTTCATTTCCTCCCATTCCTTTTGGGCGCCTGTGTTCTCGATCTCAGACCCAGCTTTAGGCTTGCTGGATGACGCTGAATTTGCCACAGAAGCGGCTTCATTCTTCTGTTCGGTGTCGACAATGGCCTCTTGTCTAGCCCGCGTCTGCTTCAGGGCCTGGAGATCAGCGCGTCGCTGCTCGAGCGTTTTATCTTGTTCTTGCGACGTCTTTTCGAATTGAAGCATACGACGCTCAGCCTCGATATCTTCGTCGAGTTGTTGAAGTTGGCCCCGATAATTGGCCTCTCGAAGAGTCGTTCGCTCTCAAGTTGAAAGTTGCGTTGCGCCCTTCTCTGCAACTCCTTTCTTTCTGACGATGTTCTTCGTCTTCTTTCAGGCACTTCCGGCAGCTTCCGGTCCCAGAACCGCATGAAGCTTCGAATTTATGCTTCCTGCCACAAAATTGGGTCACCAGTTGGCGACACGGCGTTTCACTATGGTCCAACAGACGGTGACATCGCCGTTGGCACGTGTGCAATCCGCATTTCAGCTTTGTTCCGCACGGCTCGGAGCACCCGCCATCCGGACACTTGAGGTCAAAGTCCTCAGGTCCAGCCAACATGACAATCCTAGAGGGATGCTGCTCACAGCGAACCCAAAAACCATCTTGGAGAAATTGCTTCTCGCGCAGAATGTTGAAAAACGGCACCCACACACGTTGACCCTGGGTAGATTTTATAAATGTGTCCAAGTTTCCAATCATGATCAGGCTATTCCGTGCTCGAGATACCAAGACATTCAGGCGCTCGGGTGCCTTCATGAACCCAATATCGCCTCTGGCGTTGCTACGCGTTAGTGACGCGATGACGATGTCACTTTCTTCTCCTTGGTAATTATCTTAGTCGCGTCAGCTGAGGTCCAAAACCTAGAGGCATGTGTCTCGCTGAATCAAGAATGGCGTATCCTTCACCAACTTACCAATGGTAGAGAGCCTGATTTTCGTCTTCGCAACCAAGCTCGCCGCGGTCGTCATCAAACCAGCTCTGATGAGCTCAGCAGAGTCCATATCGTTCAGCAATGGGTCGTTCTCCTTGCTCAGTTCGTCGCGAAGAAGGCATAGCTGGCCGAGGTAGGGAGTGAGCACAACCAGGTGTGAATTTCCATACCCCTGTTGGCCCAGGTACTTGACTAACTTAAGAACCAGCTTTGCTTCGAACGGATTTTGTTTGCTTGCACGATAGTCCACATCGGTTTGAGAGTAGGCACCAGCTCCGTCAAGCTCGGGCTTGTCGTGATTGATAAACATAACTCGACCCAAGAGACCTCGGATGATAGGATGCTCACGCATCTTGTCTCCGTCAAGCAGCTCTGGATACGTCATTTGTCGTACAAGCTGCGAGATGTCAGGGTGCATGCGATGCTGTTTGCAGAGAGTAGTGTGCCGATGGCCCTGTAGAATGAGTCGCTCGAACAAAGAGCGGTTGAGATCAAAACCGCCACCGTGCTCAACACTGAGAGTGTAGTTGTTAACCTTGGGCCGCAGCTGTTTATGATCCCCAATCAGGATGAGTTGCTGAACGCAAGGCTGGAGAGCCGCAAGGATATGTGCCTCGAGAATCTCTCCGGCCTCTTCGACCATGACAACATCAGGGGCAAACGCCGAAATGAGAGATGAGTGCATAGAAGCTGCAGTTGTCGTACAGCCTACGATGCGCTTCGTCTTGATGAAATTGCGCTTTGCCTCGGCAAAGAGATAATCCACTTGTCTCTGAATATCGTCGAATTGGTCGGTGAGCGTCTGAAGGTTCTCGATCTTTTCTCTGTATACAGCATTGGTCCATGTGCTGTAAAGAACCTTTCTTTGGGGTACAGGCATCCCCCATACAAGATGTTGGGTTGGCGGCACGTACGCCGATCTCGGCTCTGGAGCTTGAGCCCCTGTGTTCCACCGTCGGAGGAGGTAGTCTCTAGAAACGGCCTTGCCTTGATGGTTAGCCGTGACGAAGCCGTCATCACACTCCATCATGAGGAATGCGTCGTAGTGTGGTTGGTATTGTTCCGAGAATTCGAGATAAGAGAGCACGTCATCAGCAGAAATAGCATTGCGTCCAACGCTTCGGCAGGCTTGCTCGATTTCTGCTTGAAGGCTCATAGCCTCTTCTTGCAGCCCTCTGATCTCATCGCGGCAATGATTGCTCAAGTAATGCTTGCTATTGCGATAGAGGGAGTCGAATCGGATCGGCTCAGTCGCTGCAGTATATTTCCCACCGAGACGGATCATCTTCTCCTGCGATACTCCGGCAACATTAGTGAGGTCTTCCAGAAACTGATCCAGAGCGTGGTTGGTGTAGGTGATGATGAGGATCCGGGAGTTTCTATTCGCCAAGAGAAACTGAACTGCTATGGCCCCGATGAAAGACTTTCCAGTGCCGAAGGAAGATACCATTAGTTGGCTTGTGGCATACATGAGACGTTAGCTCCTCTGTGACACACACCTGGAGGTCCTTGAATGATGGAGAGTGGGCTCTCCAAGGCGTTTTTCAACGATGCCGTCTGTGATTCGTCTAGTAGGATTTTTTTGAGTCCCTTCGGGAAACTCAGTTGAATGGATGCGCTCGACTTGTTAAGGGTCGTCAACAATTTTGCAATTTCTGGGCTAGGAGTGAAAGAGTCGTTCATGGAAGTGCCATCATCAGGAAGTACCAGCAGGTATTTTTCAAGAGGCATATCCCTGATCGTTTTGAGTCTCTCAAGAACCGGCTCATACGCAAACACAGGGGTGTTTACAAGGACGAACCGAAGGTTTTGAGGGTTTCGGAAAGCTGACAGAGCTTTCGACAGCGTGTCTTTGCCAGCGAACTGTAGACCAAGTACCTTCTCTGCAAGTTGGTCGACGTCACGTACAGTGAAGGCGAAGCCGATGATCTCCTTTTCATTACACAGAGCACCAAAGCTTTGATGACCTAGGATCTTCTTGTCGTCGTTGAGCAGCTTCTTTCGCTTTTGTGAATCCATCTTATTCAGCATCTCAAGTCCTAGGCCGTTTTTGATGAGGAGTGCACTCTTTTG